GCTATTTTTATGCTACATTATTGAACTTTGTAACTTAAATATAAAAAATTGTAAAATAATATCGTATGCCAATGATACTACACTAACTTTTTGTGGGGATTCATGGGAAGAAGTTTTTAACATTGCACAAGAAGGTTTTAATACCGTCTGTCAGTGGCTAGCCATAAATTCACTTTCACTTAATGTTGATAAAACCAAATATATTACGTTCTCGATTCGAAAATTATCAAAATATATTAGCAATTATAAAATTTCTCTTATTCATGTTTTCAATTTCCTATTCCAAACTGCAACTGCTTTAATATAATAAATACACAAGAAATTAAATATTTAGGAATAACAATAGATAACAATCTTAAATTCAAAGCACACATAAGAAATTTAACTCAAACAGTCAGAAAACTACATTTTTACTTACATTTTTAAAAACTTAAGACATGTCACAACCTGGATATTGCTAAAAACTGTTTATATATCCTTGTACCAATGTATATTAACCTAAGGTATTACTGTTTGGGGAGGTTTGAATTGGAAAGAGCTCAAAGAATGATTTTAAAAGTTGCATTTTAAAAACCAAAATTTTTCTCAACAACCAGTTTGTTCAGTGAAGCTAACGTGCTTACAGTATGAAAATTATATATAATGTATATATAGGTATATATATATATATATATAATATATATATATATATATATATATATATATATATATATATATATATATAAAATTTTGATTATATACTTTTATTATTATCATTTAAAACATATTGCATGTTATATTTATTCTATATGACTTTAATTGTAAATTACACTTTGGAAATCTCATATTCGATCTCCACATGCAACGCTCACTTCATGTCTAAGTACAGTATCATCGAAAAGTATGTAATAAAGCCAAGAGGGGGAGCCAGGAGACCCATAGTATAGGTTAACCTAGTTTGGGCTCCTGTCTCCCACAGCTACTCAAAAACTCTTTAACTATTTATGAAACTATTATAACTATGTAAAAAGTGGGAGAAATAAATGTTTATTATTATTTTGGGTTATTGATAGAGTAATCACATCTGGTTGGACTGGATAAATACATAAAAGGAAAAAATAAATATACTTAAATATATATTTACTATACTAACATAAATAAATAAATAATACATAAATAAATAAAAGCCCAACCAGATGGAAGCCCTCGGCAGGGGAGACCAAACGGCCGAGGGTTAGGGGGAAACGGAAAGAAACCGGCGGACGATGCGGCCGGTATCGAGGAGCACCGCCTTCTGGCATTTGAGCCCGGAACGGTCCGTCACGGAGTCCCAGTCGCCTCAGATGGCCCGAGAGGCTGGCTGTCATTAACCCGTTTGCAGAAACGACTACAGGAGTAATTTCGGCAGTAAAGTCGGCAGACCACCCCATATGTCGGTCACCTCGTGAGCTAGGTCCAGATATTTTGATTGCTTATCTGTTTCGGCTTTCACGAGGTTCTCGTCATACGGAATGGTAATGTCGACCAAAAATATCCTTGACTGTGTCCGAACCATCAGCACAATATCAGGCTTATTCGCAAGAATAGTCCTGTCTGTGATGATGGCCCGATCCCAATACAGCCTGGCGCGATCATTTTCGAGCACGGCTTCCGGCAAGTTCTTGTAATACGGCAATTTCCGATCCACGAGACCGTATTTCAGAGCGAGCTTCTGGTGAAGAATTCTGGCTACGAGGTTGTGCCTGTGCAAGTACCCAGAGTTAGAAAGCGCCGAACAACCGGAGATGACATGCCTAAGTGACTCACCGGGATGGCGACAAGCTCGACAAGTGTCGATGGTGCCATCCTTTAGGATGTATCTCCGATAGTTGTTATTATTGTTATTTTTATTATTTTTTCACAGCTATGAGCTGGTAAATAAATGGCGATTACGGGTTGAAACCTAGTAACCGTCATTGAAATAGGGGATAAGCTACATTACTGTCATCCTGCATGAATTTTCGAACGATGCGACATGTATTTAAAATTGCTGCTTTTTGTATATTAATGTATGAGTTCGGTGATATGTCTAGCATTTTTAAACTATGATGTAAGTGCTTCGGGATTATTCCGGTGGTAGAAAGTAATATGGGTATTATGAAAACTTTTTTCATCATCCACATTTTTGTTATTTCTTATTTCAGTTCTGTGTATTTATTTATTTTTTCGGTTATAGTTTTAATTAAATTATGCGTATTAGGTACGGCTGTATCAATGATATATACTGTTTTATTTATTTGATCTTGGAGCGTAATATCAGGTCTATTGTAATGGATGGTTTTGTCTGTCAGAACAGAACGGTCGTAGTACATTTTAAAATTTGTATTTTTTATATATTCAAATACGTATAGTATGTGAGTCTGGGATTTGTGTTTGATTGCAAATTTTTGGTGTATTATATTTACTGTCTGGTTATGTCTGTGTGTGTAATCTGTCTGCGTGAGTGTTGGGCAAGCTCTTGTAATATGCTGAATGGTCTCGGACTGTTTATGACATTTTCTACATTTATCATCTGCTATTGTAGGATCTTTAATTATATATTTTTTGATAATTTTTCTTATTAATGACTTGATCCTGTATTGCTATCATGAAGCCTTCGGTTTCAGGGAATAAGTAACCACATACAAGCCACCTATTCCATGCCTCCGAACTACATGCCTACATGTGCTTGACCTAAGTTATAGGGATTTCTAGCATGCAAAACTTTTTTTCCATTGTATTAATTTCAAGTTTTCTCTGTCTGCATACTGATCATTTATTTCTGTTATATGTGGCTTTTCTGCAAGGTTTAGTGGTGTGAGGTTCACGTCTATTCTAACAATAGCATTGTGTAAATTACTGGTAGTCATTTTTATATGAAAGAATGATCTAAGGGTTGAGAGCTGCTTAGTCCAGAGAGCTTGGATGTCTATAAGACCTCTTCCACCTCGATTCCTGGCTATTGAAATCCTTTCTACTGCAGACTTGAGATGTAAATGATTAAATTTTGTTAATATGGTACGTGTTTTTATTTCGAGGCTAACTATGTCTGTTTTTGTCCATTTTATTATACCAAATGAATATGTTAATATCGGAATCGCGTAAGTATTAATAGCTTTAATAAGGCTTTTATGTGTTAGTTGGGTTTTACAGATTCGGCTTATTCTACTTTTATATTCTGTAAATAATGCGTTTTTAAGCTAGTATGATCTAACAGCTTGGATTGCTGATATCCTAAGTACTTATACACCTCATCTGACTTCATGGACGAAATAATGCGTAATAATAAATGCCTTCTGGTAAAGTATAGGATCCTGGTTCTATTTTTCCCTTCTTTATATTTAAGATTTTACATTTTTCTAATCCAAACTGCATATTTATGTCGTTACTGAATTTACTTGTAATATCTAATAAGATTTTCATGTCTTTAAACGAACTGGCGTAAAGCTTTATATCGTCCATGTATATCAGGTGTGATATTTTAATCTCGGCGTTAGGGAGTTTTACAAGGTAACCTTTCTTTTGATCATTAAGTAGACGAGATAATGGGTTGAGTGTGAGGCAGAACCAGAATGGGCTCAAGGAATCGCCCTGGTAAATATATACCTTTCCGGATAGCTATATTCCTCGTATTAAGACTAGTATTATTGGTATGCAAATTTAAAGAGGTTTTCCAGTGCAAGATAATATTTTCCAAAACATTTATTAAACTCGGGTTTATTTTATAAAATTTTAAAACTTGAATTAACCAAGTATGAGGTACGCTATCAAATGCTTTACGATAGTCAATAAATGTGCAATGTAAGTTTTTCTTCCTTAAATTTGCGTGTCTATGAATGGTTGAGTCAATTATGAGCTGCTCTTTGCAACCCATGTGGTTCCTCCTACACCCTTTTTGTTCTTCTGCCATAATCATGTTAAGCTCTAAATGTGAATTTATTTTTGCAGTGATAGTAGCGGTTAAAATTTTGTATATTGTGGGGAGGCAAGTAATTGGGCGATATTAGGACGGACTATTTGTAATGTTACTTTTTGGAATCATGTATGTAATCCCTTTTGAAATAAATGGCGGCAGCGGTTGATTTTGGAGTATAACATTTGTAAAAGTTTTAGCGAGAGCCTTATGGAGAGTATGTAATTTTTTATACCAAAAATTGTGAATGTAGTCTATTCCTGGTGATTTCCAATTATGCAGTTTAAATAGCGATTTTCACATCATCTTCTGTTATTTCGTCAAATATCATTTCCTCTATTGAATCCCATTTACTTATCTCCTCTTGTATCCAGTCTGCACTTTCATTGTGCGATACTGACTTCTCCCATATATCAGACCAAAACTCTTCAAGCTGCTCTTTTGTTACCATTTGTGTATCATCCGTATTATTAGTTATATTTTTATCCTGTTTTAATTGTCTATAGAATAATTTTTCGTTTGTTTTAAAAAGTTTATTTTCTTGTTTTCTTTGATTAGCCTTCGAATATGTTTTAAGTCTTTGTGACTTAAAGTAATAACTTCTGTTTGAGTGTGTCAATGTATTCTTCAGGTGTTTTGTTTGTGTTTTCATGAGTTGTATGTGATTGATAACTTCGAAAGACTTTTTCTGCTGTTTTAGTTACTTTTTTGGACCTATTGCCCATAATATATTGAGTAAGTCTACCTATATCTGATCAGAGTTTGTTTATTCCTTTTTGTTATCTTATTTGCCATGCTGGTTCTGGGTTACGCTTGTGATTTAGCATTTGATTTTCATAGAAAAAATTTAAACCTAATTCTTTTGTTATAACCATAGCGCTACAGTATACGAGGGTATGAATGTCAGTTAAAAGTGCATTGTCTGTAATGAATCGGTTCATTATATGATTGCTGAAAATATCTATTAGATTTGTAAGCTTTTTGCTGTATTTCAATTTAGGAAATTTTGATCTGCATGTAGGATCCATACCTGAGTATTGAAATATTGTTGTTTTTAATTCTTCACGTAGTTTTGTAATTAATTCTTCCCCTATAGCTTTTTGTCCAATGTTTTAAGATCTATTTCTAAAATAATATCGTATACCATATCTACTTGCGTGAGAGTATTTGAAGTTTGTGTGGAAGAATGGGTGGTGAGTGTAGTCGGCTCTGTAGTGAATAAATGAGAGTTTTGATCGCATGAATGAGGTTGATGTAAATCATTTGTTGTAAGAGCTTCTAAGTCTGTTGGGTTAGAACAAGGAAGAATGTTGTGTCTGTCATTACCAATGGTATTTGATTTTTCAATTTTATGCCTGATTTCATATTTTAATTGTTCCAATTCTTCCTCAGATAGACCTTCCTTTTTAATTATCATTCGTCTCTGATCTGAGATTCTTTGCTCCGTAACATTTACTCCCGGGTATTGTTTAGTAAAAGATTCATGCAGGATTTTCCTGTAACAAGTCATATCTGTCTCTAATTTTGTTATATATATGTACGCATGATAAACATGTTGACATCTTTTGACCATGTCATGCGTACTCTTGCTTTACCAGCCCTAGTGGACGGAGGTAAAAAGAAATTCACCTCCTGCGTAACATCTAAAGTTGGTGTAGATCTATTTGGATATGGTAAATTATGCCTTGTCAAGGATGACGGTGAAGGTATTTGGCGAATGTGGTACGGTGAAGTTTCTTCTAGTAAAATTGATGGTGTTGTATTAACAGTATGTCTGTTTTGTGTCGAGTTGGCTGTAGCATTTTCGGGTAACCCGGAGGGAGCCCGCCTATTCAGCTCCTCTCCGCTGAAGGATCGTATACTATCGCACCCAGCGCCAGCTCTAAGCGCGCCCCGGCGATCACCCCCGGGCAGCGGCCCTAAGCGTTTACTTCTTAATCGAGTCTCCATGTTTAATGGGTTAGTTCCATGTTAGCCGTGCCAGTAAAAATATATCACGTGTCCGCTCCCTACGTGAATCAGATGGTCGATTCGGACGTACAGTTGGAATTTAGGGGGCGTATTATTATTATTGGGGGGTATAAATATAGTTTTCTCATCTGGTTGGGTTCTATAAATATATAATTATAAATGAAAAGAATTTATTCTTTGTTTTAAGCAAAAAATATTTTCAGAAATAAAAAAATTAAATCTCATTATACATATTATAACATTTATATGTACCTACGCATAAATAAAGCCCCATCCTTTTTCATTTTCATACCATATTTTATTTTAAAAATCCGAAAAGAAAAAAGAACTAATTCCTCGCAGGCGAGTTCAATCTCAAGGCATTGCACACGACCGACCGAAGCAAGAGTAGTGCTCTTTTCAGCATCACATCACTCATGCAATTGGATCATTTTATGACTGTTTTTTTGTTATTTACTTTTATCTTTGATGTTTTTATGTATTATTTTATTTTCTGTATCAAAACTGTATGAATGTAAGTTGCTGAATAAATGCATGTCTATGTCTATGTCTATGTCTAAAAGATAAATATACGTAAATATCAATAAAATAAAATAAATATAAAAATACATATATAAATAAAAGCCCAACAAGATGGAGGCCCTTGGCAGGGGAGACCAAATGGCCGAAGGTTAGGGGGAAAGGGAAAGAAACCGGCGGACGATGCGGGCGGTATCGAGGAGCACCGCCTTCAGCATTTGAGCCTGGAGCGGTCCTCCACGTAGTTCCAGCCGCTTCAGATGATCCGAGAGGCTGACTGGAATTAGCAGAGAAGACTACAGGAATAATTTCGGACGGCAGACCACCCCACATGTCGGTCACCTCGTGAGCAAGGTCCAGATATTTTGTTTGCTTATCTGTTTCGGCTTTCACGAGGTTCTCGTCATACGGAATGGTAAAGTCGACCAAAAATATCCTTGAATGTGTCCGATCCATCAGCACAATATCAGGCTTATTCGCAAGAATAGTCCTGTCTGTGATGATGGCCCGATCGCAGTAGAGCCTGGCGCGATCATTTTCGAGCACGACTTCCGGCAAGTACTTGTAATACGGCAATTTCCGATCCACGAGACCGTATTTCAAAGCGAGCTCCTGGTGAAGAATTCTGGCTATTAGGTTGGGCCTGTGCAAGTACTCAGAGTTAGAAAGCGCCGAACAACCGGAGATCACATGCCTAAGTGACTCACCGGGATGGCGACAAGCTCGACAGATGTCGACGGTGCCTCTTTGGTTGCCGGATAGTTGTTGGTCTTAATAACCTGATCCTGTATTGCACAGACAAAACCCTCGGTTTCCCCGAAGAGATCACCAAATTGTAGCCAGTGGAGGGAGGCTACTGTATGTACGAAAGGCTCATATAGATCCTTGTAGAACCTCGCGTGGAGCTCCTTCTCCTTCCATACGATCTTCCGGTCGGAAATTCTCTGCACTGCCGGATCTTGCCATTGCTCGTTGGCTAAGGATAGAGGGATAAGTCCTTTATCACAAGAAATGATGTCCTTATAGAATGGATCATCCAATTTCGCCAGAAAGTAATCACGGAGGCTGCACACTTCGCGATTATGCATGGCGTGCGCGCTCAGGAAGCCACGCCCACCATGCTTTCGCGGCAAGTATAGCCTCATTACCGACGATCTCGTATGATGCATCCTATGGGACATCATTGTAGTGCGGACTTTTCCATCCAGGGCGTTAAGTTCAGTCTGAGTCCACCTGAGTATGCCAAAGGTATACATGAGAATAGGCATTACCCAACCGTTATATGCGTGTGTCTTATTCACACCGGACAAAAGGCTGTTAAGCACTTTGGTCAAGCGTGCATAAAACACGTCGTAAACTGACTATTTCATACCAGCTTCATCGATACCCATATTCTGTGACATACCCAGGTATCGGTATGTTTCAGCCTCGGAAAGGGTCCTTAAATTGACGGGCATAGATGCCTATGCCCTCCAAGTTAGCAACCCTTCCCCTTTCAACATGGAGGACCGCACACATATCCGTCCCCAGCTCCATTCCAATAGAATTGCTAAATTCACAAGTGATGTTTAGCAATTTCATAAAATGAGAGCGACTGGAGGCGAATAACTTGAGGTCATCCATATAGAAAAGGTGGGTCACTTTTGTACCTCCTTTCCGAAGCTGAAATCCCCTCCAGGAGCCCTCTAGTAAAGTACTGAGAGGGTTCAGAGAGAGGCAAAACCAGATTGGACTCAGACAATCGCCCTGGAAGATACTTATCCTTATGTGGTTCTCCGCAGCCATCATCCGCTCGCCCAGATAACAAAGGATCGTACTCTACTGCCCCATACACTGCTCGAGGAAGTCTCCAACTGTACAGTCAATCTTGTACAGCTGGAGGACACTCTTTAGCCATATATGGGGCACCGAGTCGAATGCCTTTCTGTAGTCTATCCAGCCGGCGGAGAAGTTACGACGGTTGCGTTTTACCACTTTGCCAATGACCGCGTCAATGAGGAGTGGTTCCTTGGTTCCACGACCACCGCCCCGACATCCATTTTGATCGCGTGCCATCACCTGATTTAGCTCCAGGTCACGAGTGATTCTCGCGCTCAAAATGGATGTCAGTGTCTTATATATGTTGGGTAGACACGTGATGGGACGGTAATATCTCGGGTCTGTGGTATCCTGATCTTTAGGAACCAAGTGAGTGATCCCAGTAATGAAGAGGCTCGGGAGCGACTTCTGATCGAGAGCCTCTTGAAACTGTCGGGCGAGCACAGCGTGACACACTACGAACCCCTTCAGCCAGTGATAATGCAGCCCGTCGAGCCCCGGACTTTTCCAGTTCGGGGCCCTACGGATCGCCTCAGCCACGTCTTCAGGCGTTATGGTGACGGGGTCCATAGGCGTAACACTTGCACTCTGGCTCACCACAACTTCCATCCAAGGGCCCTCGCTGTGGTTTACGGGCTCTGACCACAGGCCACGCCAAAATGCGACAGTGTCAGCCTGATCCGTTTCTGGGCCCGCTCCGCAAACCTCTGGTCGCTCCAATGATTTATAGAGCCTCTTGTGATCACTCTGGAAGAGACGATTCTGATTGCACCGCCTTGACCTGTCGCTAAATCGTCGAATCCGCTTCCCCCAAGCAGCGATTTTTTGCTTCAGGTCATCTATGCGCTCCGTTAGTTTCTGCGTGATATCCGGCTGGGACAAACTAATATTTGTCCCAGCAAACGCCATTCTAACGGTGCGCACAACTCTCGGTCTATTATTACCCGACCTGAAGCTTGTCAGTCTGCCGATAAGGGGCCTTGCTTGTGCGATACGGTCCTCGATTATTTTTCTCCAGGCTGGGATGGCGCTACTTTGTTGAGTAGCACGTCCAGCCATTGGAAGTTTGGCGCCAATAATACGGCATACTGCCAGTGCGGCGCCAAAAAGAATTGAGTCCGTCTCGCAAAGGTCCCGGCTGGCTTCCAAATAGGTCACCAGTATTGGGTTAAGAGCCCGCACGACAGCCCGATTTCGCTTGCTAAGGGGAATGCGGGGAAGTCGCGGTCGATTTTCGAGAGGCATGCTGCGCGTTTCCAGCATCGACTCTTCCAATATGCTCCTCATTTTCTCTAGTTCATGGGAGACTATTTCATCATCCTCTGAATTAACCACAAATGGAATATTGACGGCAGCATTCACATATGCAGTTTGCTGCGCATCTGGTGGCGCCGCATGCCCAGCCGTAGCATTTCCATTCGATGAGGGAACAGCCTCACGTCGTAGTCGTTCGAGTTCGGCGTCACCAAATATTTTGGAACGCAGGATGTATCGAACTCGTTCTGCCAGGTTTTGCTCAGTGACGGATAGAGATGGCTCCAGCTCTGCAAAAAATGCGATGCATCCGAGCCCGATACGCCAAACATCCAGTTTCTTCCCCTCTTGCCCTAAAGTACGGCCGCAATACGTTTGCGTGCATTAATTGTGACCAACGCATGCGACGTGCTCCACCAGCGGCGGGTGCCGCTTGCTGAGTCCGAGAAGACCCAGCCGACACCGAGCCTTCTGGTGGGGATGCTGGATGCGGGGGGCTGCTAGGTGGTCTTGCAGCACCCTGCGCTCGGCTGGCGGCCCGCATACAGTCGCGTCCAGCGCCAGCTCTAGACGCGCCCTGGCGACCTCCAGGCAGCGGCCCTTTGCGCACTAACTTTTTTCCATCATCCATGGTTTGGGCGTCTATTAACGGGAGACGCCCAGGCCCGCCACCGTATCGTGTAGGGCCATAAGCACAAACGGGCATTTGCACCCTAAATTCTGCCGAGCCACGGCGCTCACACCTCTCGCAAGGCGCTGACTGACTGCGTTGATGTAGCAGTTTTAACTTCAACAGTAACGGTCACTTAACTGTTACGTCAGCGGGCGGTGGGTTATTATTATTATTACGTGGGGTATCTGCATAGTTTTCGCATCTGGTTGGGTTCTATAAATATATAATTATAAATTAAAATGAAAAGATAAACATACATAAATGTCAATAACATAAAATAAATACAAAAATACAATTAAATAAAAATAAAAAGCCCAATCAGATGGAGGCTTTCGGCAGGGGAGACCAAACGGCCGAGGGTTAGGGGGAAAGGGAAAGAAACCGGCGGACGATGCGGGCGGTATCGAGGAGCACCGCCTTCTGCATTTGAGCCCGGAGCGGTCCGCCACGTACCACGCCTACGTCCCAGTCGCCTCAGATGACCCGAGAGGCTGACTTATTATTATTATTATTACGTGGGTTATCTATATAGTTTTCTCATCTGGTTGGGTTCTATAAATATATAATTATAAATTAAAATGAAAAGATAGGTACATACGTAAATGTAATTAATATAAAATAAATACAAAAATAGAATTATATAAAATTATAAAAAAATAGAATTATATAAAATTATAAATAAATATTAAAAAAATAAAATATATAAAATATATTATTATTATTATTATTATTTCATTTTACACCCCATCATCTAAACTACAGAATGGAGATAGGTGTTTCCACACTGTATGTTTTACGTGACTAGAGTATTTTCAAACTTTTACTGTGGAAGCAGTATATGTCTCCTACTTTTAAGTTAGTAAGCTATTTCATACCATGACATGAATTTATCTTTATAAAGTTGTCCTTTGTTCTTTTAAGAATTAAATTATTTTGTTAGAAATTCAAGCGCATTTTGTAACAACTACTTATTCACTTGCACCGCAAAATTTTTACTCTGACTGTCTTTATTGAAACTTTTAATGAAAAATGAAAGACGGAAGAAATGTAAAAGGAAAAATCAACGTTACCGGTCACATATTAGTGTCCTTCTTCATTATCAGCCTATAAAAATTTACTTCTGTAAACGGATTATAAGGATTTGCGAGAACTGCCACGCTTAGCATGTAGATTGAAGACCGCAGTATAAGAAAACATGCACTTCATTGAGGAACAACATACACTATGAATATTTTTGTATATTATTAATGAAGTGAAAAATTTCGCTATCTATTTCACCGAGACTAAATTAATCGTGTACTGTGAGACACTAATTGACTGCCATGCATTAAATTTGTTGATCCGTATCTATTTAACAAACAAATCGAATCAAATCAAATCAAATAATTTATTTGTAAAACATACGTAAAAATTTACAAACTTGGTGGAAAAGGTATGGTAAGTAACACTATGTTTTGCCTAAAAAGTCATACAAATATTTGTTTATCACTATCACCTCGCAATATGAAAATTTGTTTTTAATAAAATAACAATTTCAATTATAATTCGTATGTTTAGAAATTACATAATTCTTAACACCATAAAGATAAATAAATCAGACATTAATTATTGTAGGTACTAAAAACCATTCATTTTATCTTCAAAATATTTGTTGATAGAGTAGTATGCTTTATTTATTAAAAAACTCGAAAGCAATTTCTTAAATTTGTCTATATTATCAGTTTCTTTGATGTTTTTTTGCAAGTTTATTAAAATTTTTAGGAGCCATACCCAGAAAACTTTTTGGGTACAGGGCTGTTTTATGAGGTTTTGTACGTAGTTTGTTCCTATGTCGTTTATTATTAGCGTTTTCAAATATGCTAAAATGTTTCCTTACAAACATAGCTACTTAGAATATATATAAAGATGGTAGGGTCAGAATGTTAAGATTAATGAAATGCGGTTTGCAACTATCGGTAACCTGCAACTGACATACTGCTCGTAAACATTTCTTTTGCGCTTTAAATACTTATTCCCGTTTTGGGGAGTTTCCCCAAAATATTATACCATATCTCAATTTTGAAGAGATGTATGCATGGTAGGCGGATATGACTGTTTCACGATTTGTAATTTTTATAAGGTTGTGTAGTGCATGGTATTGATTTATCTTTTTTATTATGTGTTCAATATGTTTACTCCATGTCATTTTTTCATCCAGCCAAAGTCCCAGAAATTTTGTGTGTTCTTTTTCGTTTATGATTTTAGTTTTATAGTTAATATTAAGTTTTGGTCGTGTTTTCCTTTGTTTGAACGACATAATATTCGTTTTATCTAAATAAATTTTAAGATTATTGTCATTCAGCTAGCTTATTATCCTGTTTAAATTCTGAGTTATGTCCGATTCAAATGAGACCTTGTCTCGTCCTGTGAATAAAACAGTGCTGTCATCAGCAAATAGTTCATAGGGTGCTGAGTCACTTGGGGCAAATCATTGATATATATATTAGGAATAGTAATGGACCGAGTACGCTTCTTTGCGGCACACCGTAGGTTGTTTGCTTTTGTTGCGAAAGGTGTGTTATTTCAATATTAGTACACGGACAGATCTTTTTTAATTATAGTAATTTGTTTCCTATCATTCAGGTATGACATAATAAGTTTTAACACATTACCTCTGATTCCATATTTTTCCAGTTTCAGCGCTAAGATATTTAAATCAACGTAATCAAACGCTTTGGTCATGTCCATGACCAAACCGGTTGTTGGTGTACGATCACCCATACCGGTGATTACTTTTTCCATAAACCCATACATGGCCATATTTATGTTTTACATTTTTTGAAACCATATTATTCGTTTTCTAAGATGTTATTAATTTCTAAATAAGAATAAAGGTTGTTATTTATTATTTTTTCTATTACATACATACATAAACACTCACGCCTGTCACCCAGAGGGGTAGGCAGAGACTGCAGACTTCCATTTGGCACGATCCTGACACACCTCTCTCGCCTCCTTCACATCCATACACCTACGCATGCATGCTCGTCGGTTAAGGTACTCCTAATTTGGCCCGTTTTCAATAAATCGCCAATTTGGTCGATAAATTTTCGCCTAGGACGTCTCTTTCCGACTCTGCCATTCACTTCTGCGACATAAATTTTCTTTGTCACTCTTTCCACATCCATTCTTTCCACATGACCAAACCACCGAAGCATTCCTTTCTTAATCCTGGTCACAACATCATCTTGCAAACCACACTCTACTCTTATCACACAATTTTTCACCCTGTCATTCAGATTCAGCCCTAACATACTCCTTAACGACCGCATTTCTACTGCATTTATTCTACTCTCGTGCTTCTTCTGCCACACCCAACTTTCACTACCATACGTTAAAGTAGGGACCAACACAGCATTGTGAATTGCCATACGTGCCTTTTTCGACACATTTTGACTCTTCACAATAGAGTTCAGGGCTCCATTTACTCTGTTTCCTGCGTTCACTCGTCGTTCTATATCCTTATCATATCTCCCATCCCTGCTAAATACGCAACCCAAATATACAAACTCATCTACTTGCTCGATCAACTCCCCTTCTATTCTTATTTCACATATCGTTTTACTTTCATCTCTTTCAAAAACCATAATTTTTGTCTTACGTGCGTTCACTTTCATACCCCTTTCTTTTAATGATCTGTTCATTAATGTAACCATCATTTGCAACTCAGCCGCCGACGACGCAAGAATAACTTGATCATCGGCGTACAAAAGGCATTTGAAGGTTTTTCTATTATTTTGGAGAATATTGGAAACAAAGCGACAGGCCTGTAGTTTTTATCTTAATCTCAGCAGAAATGGAACACAACAAGTGAACCTTTAACGGTCGTAACGGTTAATTAGTATATTATTATTATTATTATTATATTATAGCGTATAGTTTTGAAGAGGACCCTTCAAGCCGGAGGGGATGGTTGCGCGGAAATAAGAAATGGGAACTCTCTCGTTTTGTCCGGATGGTTATTGTTTACCAGTGTCCCTTTCCGTCATATCCACGCATATCTATTCCACACGCACTGAAAGTGGGGGGGTCTAGAATGTGACGTAATTTTCGGGCAATAAGAAACACGCCCCGCTGAGATGGTGGTGGTAGATATGGCCGACCAATAAAAAAGCCACCCTTGCCACCGCCCGTTCTTCTTGCATCGTGATTGAAGACCAACGCTAGTTATGTTCGCACTTCTGTGGCAGTCGCGCCACAGAAAAATCTAGAAACAACCGTCTCGCATATTGCGAGTTATCGTCACGCACCCCTCTTTCAACGCATCACACTACCAGTAGCGTCATCCTTGAGGCCACCAGTAAAAGGTACTCCATCCCTGTAAGTGCTTCTTAATTTGCCTTGGGCAAAATATAACAAAGAAATAAATATTTATTTGTTATATATTTTCTTCCCTAACGGCCTAAGTATAATTCCATCTCGGGACACTGGCATAATACTAGATTTGGAATAGCGAGTGCATCGTCCAAGACCTGCCACGTGCCACGTCGGCCACCTAGATTTGGCTGTTGGAGGCCACTCATACAGTCCACCAAAGAAAATCAATCCAGTATAAAAAGGTCGAGGCTCGATCCGGAAATCGAACCCGGGACCCTATCGCTCAACCATTTCACTGGTTCTTACGAGCTGGGTTAGAATCAGGCGATTGGCGCCACCAACAAATATGCCGGAATCCCTGCTTGAGGGTGAGCATTAACTCACCACCGAGCAAGCTAACAGGAATCGTTGTGTGACCATATGCCGATGGGTGGTGGAAGTCGTTATCGGGTACTTCAAGCGAGACTTTAACATATTCCCGCAAGATTTTTTTAATAAAACTCTTTCATATATAACGCAAATGTCATCCGTAGCTTCAATCCTTTTAAATAAGTTCAGAGGAAGTGGAAATAATTCGCTTATTAGAGATAAAATCAAATCCAGACACATTTCGAGAAAAGTATATTATGTTTATATATTAATTGAAAGTAATATGTATGAAGGGAAACCATAATAGA